TGTACCTCGCCTTTTATCTCTCTATCGATTTTTTTTCTCTTCACTCACTTTGCTCTTTTCACTCTCGTCTCGGCCGTAGCCCCGGACCTGGAATTGGAATTGGAATTTCGAATATCCGATTACAGTTGGAAGGCCACACTGCTCGGAACGATTCGAGAAAGCTCTCGCTTCCATCTTTCTCGCGGAAATGGATTCTGGAAGTGAGCGATCGCTCGAATTATTTCGAGCAGTGTTTACCCGACACGTGTCGTACCTGGCGCAACAGGTGTAAATCGATGAAGAACGACTGGTTTCGAAACGCCGATTCCTCCGCTCCGGTGACTCCGCGGTATGCCTGCATCCACTGTTCTCTCTGTTCTCTTTATTTCTCTCTTTTTTTTTTCTCTTTTTTTTTCTCTTCTTCAATGTCTCTTCTGGCCTGATCTGGTCTTTTGTTTTTAGTATTTTTTTTTCTCTCTTCTTTTTTTCAATCTGTCTGAAACATATGATAACAGTGGTCACGAGTGATAAAACAAGCGATCGAGAATTATATCGGGTATTATTACCGGTCCAGAGATGCGAGGTCCTGGAAACGTGACTGTTTTCTTACATGGCGAGTTCTCGTCGGGCTCTCCCTCCTCGAGTCGGTTTGTTAATCAATCCATTCACGAATGAAATGAAATTATAGTAAATAAAATTGTAACTGAAACGAAGGTACAATAAATACGTGTATATAGCGTGATCTGTCCGCGATGAAGAATGTAGAGAAAAAATTGTCAAGTGAAATGTTAAACTGTGAGATCGACAGGAAGAAGGGATGTGGCCCGACATCTGACCGTTTCACGGGCGTTTCTACTACCGGTTCAGTTGCAATCCCGGGCAATTTTTTTGTCAATATAAATTCATCTTAAAATCGGCGACTACACTGGTGATAATCGAGTAATATATCAACACATAGATATGACAACGTATAATTAATTAATAAAGAAAGAAGAAAATAATGCACGTTTAGAAAATAACTTTCTGAAAGGAAAAAAAAAAAATCACTGGTTAACCACGCATGCCCGCTTAGAGATTTCTTCGAGTTTCTGAGTCTCATTCGAGTTCGATGTAAAAAGCCGCGATCAAATCGATCCGCGATCTTCTTTCTCGTTCGAGAGAAGAAAAAAACAGTGACACCGTAATCGAATTTCATCCTTTTGTGTTCACAGGCCGACGAACTCCCTCCTGAGCAAATTGCTGGTACGTACATCAACTTTTAACACTTCACCAACAACTCTATAATTTCTAATTAATAGCAAACAAATTCGAAATCAGTGACAACTGAGTCTTACGCATGGACAATTATATAAAAAAGAATTCGTGGTTCGAAAGAAGCTCTAAATTGGGTCTGTAACCACTATAACCACTAATTAACAGCAAACAAATTCGAAACCAGTGATAACTGATCAGTCTTAGACAATGACAATCATAGAAAAGAATTCGTGACTTGAAGGAAACTCTAAATTCGAACGACGAGTTTGGAATGAAAATGGCGCGAATTTCAAAATCCTTAACCTGATTGTGAGATAATTATTGTTTTGTTTTTTAGTTTAAGACTTGACTGAAATTTGACCTAGGCATCTAGTTATTTTTGCTAGATAAAAATCAACTTTATTCATTTAACAAAGGAATAGTTATCTATTTATCGAGTCAGTAAAAATTCGATTGCAAATTCAAGAGTGAAAAAACGCGAAAACGAGCTCCTCATGTCACGGTAGAACTCCACGCGCCATTCTTGGTTTTCCGGTATTTCAATCGCGTTGAAATCGTATCGCGTTCACTGGACACCGTGCTCTAAATTTAGTCGGAGGCACGCTTCGTTTCGTTTCCCTTTTTGAATCCTTCTCTCGATGGAAAGGTGGCTCGTGTAACTCGTCGATCGTAAGCCTCGATATTTTGTGTTAACGTAATATCTCAATTTTTCAAAGAACCTGAAAGTTTGATGTTTTCTTAGCTACGATATTTTCTTCCATCTAGATCCGTGAAGCCCAATTGGGAGAGCAATTAGAGAACGAGTTGTTAACAATTAATTTTTTTGCATTTCTTTAAATGTAATTTAGATTCTAATTAAGATTAGATAAAATTAAGAAATTTAACTTTCTAATTTTTTCCTTTCATGCATGTCAAGTACTTTGGAAGCTTGAAGTTAATGGCCTTTTTTAGAGCTTCCTCCGCATCAAAAATTCAATTTTTGAATAATAAGAATCAACGAGTCAACAGGAGTAAGGTATCAGGATTTTAGAGATGCTTAGATCAAAGGCATGGCCAAGGAAAGATTGGGAATCACTGATCTAGAACTTTTGCAAATACTCATGTACTTTCCTTACTTCTTTCGTTCACGTTTCTAAAATAATCGATAATAATTTCCTTCACGCAACTTTTACACTTCTTTCGCTTTTAACGAGTCGATTATTCTGGGAAAAAGTCCAGTGCGACCGAGGGTCTATCTTTAGGTTAGATTTAGGTTAGGTTTAGGTTTAGTTGTGCCATGCCCTCGTAGTTTCACACTGGAAAACCGTCCACGATTTCGAGTCGAGGAAGAAGAAGTTCCGTTCGAGAACAAAGAAACTCTCAAGAAATCTCAGGATATTTGAAAATTATTCGCGAAAGAATTTGTTTAAAACCTCGAACCTGGGAGGGAAATAAGAACGGGACGGATAAGTTATCTACGTTCCCGGAGTTTATTTGCGCTTCGGTTCGATCGGGGGCAGCCGGTAAACGGGCTGCCTATGTATAGCTGCGGAACCGTCGGTGACGAGGGGGGTATCGCGTGACGATTCGATCGGAGAGAATCGGATCGGTAAAAATAGAGGAAAGATTCTCCAACGGAATCGAAAAATAGAAGCTCGTTCCATTCGTCTTGAGAAGAAACGAAATATATCCGGCTAGGCGAGGATGTTTAGCTACGCGCACAGTCCCTCGTCCAATTCTTTTTCTTTTTTTAACGTTGTCGACATTGTGCCATTTTTTCACTTCATTGTTGTACAACACGTGCAACACGAAAGAGAAGCTCACGCGAGAAAGATAAACTCGTTCTACTCTTCTATTACTCGCGAAATTACTTCCCAAGAGTCTATCTTCAGGTGTGCTCGTAGTTTTTTTAAATTAAAGTTTTTTTTTTTTTAAAAAATGGGCGATTTTTGAAAGGAGAGGATGATAAACGATCGCGTAAATTGGCTTAAAATTTCATCGCGCCACCGATCAACAACGATAAATAAACGGTCTAACCGGCGCGTATTTGACGCCGATGTATCAAGCCAAATAAGCTCCGAGCCAGAATCGCGAGCGAAAGGGCATTAACATCGATTTCTAAATCCGTAGCCGCACCGCAGACGGCTTCTAACGCGATGAAACACCGCTTAAGAGTAATCAGATCCTTCCCCGTCCCCCTCCCCCCAAACATACGTGCCACGCACGCTGACAAAAGATCATCCAATATTTTATTGCTCCTTTTCAGTCCTTCGCAAGGCATTTGACAGCTTCGACAGGGAGAAAAGTGGCAGCATTCCTACCGACATGGTGGCCGACATCCTCAGACTGATGGGTCAACCGTTCAACAAAAAGATTCTGGACGAGCTGATCGAGGAAGTCGACGCCGACAGTAAGTAATACAAGACGTTTGTCAGACATCGTGATGTAATCATAACCGATAGAAGCTCATCTAATTGTAAGGTTATGTCAGTTCGTAACGTACAACAATTAGCTCAACGTGTTAACCCTCTATGGGGGTCCGTGTAACTAAGTCACGTACTAATGTATCGATATTTTATTAAATAATTGAACTTTTTTCCACAAGATGGCGTATACGTCTTATTGTACAATGTCTCATTAACATCTTGATAACAGTTATTACCTCTATCCTGAAATGTCAGTTTTATTATTCGTTATAATAATACATTTTGAAACTGCTGAATTCATTGTTAATCTGTAATATTGGTTGATATTTGTTGATTTTACGTTACATAAATTTTTTTATAATCAAGAAAAATAGTCGGCTTCCTATAGAGGGTTAAATCGATTGACTTGAAATTTCGATCGGTAAAATTGAAATTTCGACTTTCGTAAAATAAAGATGAAAATAAAATAAAAATTCCGGATTGATAGAATCCGGACGCCTCGAGTTCGAAGAGTTCGTCACGTTGGCCGCGAAGTTCATCGTCGAGGAGGACGCGGAGGCCCTAGAAAAGGAGCTCCGAGAGGCATTCAGGCTGTACGACAAGGAAGGTAAGTTTATCCTACGATTTATTCACGTGCTAACTTTATCCTGCAAGCTTTATCTTTCATCCCATTGTTTTGTATTTACTTGGATCTAGCTAGAAATTCGTTTTGCTTCTCGGAGAGAACGGAAAGAGTGCGAAAACAAGTCAGAAATCGTGTTTACCACGCGTTTCGAAACTTGTTTAACCGATCGAGCCAAGAAATTTCCACCGTTAATTTTCCTGTTGTGTCGCCTTCCTACTCTAAAACGTTAACAACAAACGATAAATACATATATATATATATATATATATATATATATATATATATATATA